GTGTCAGACCTTGGCAGAGAGACCACTGCTTCCACACTGAAGAAGGACTTCTCTGCAGCATGCTGGCAGTGGACAGGGTTTTCTACTCAGGCTGTGGCTGCTTTCTCAAGAAAACAAAGGGGTCTATTCACAAAGCTGCCGTAGGCAGCCGAGTGAAAGACCGACCTGAAGTTTAGTGAGCTGAACGCTGTTCGGCTATTCACTTCAGGCTGGTACAGTTGATTTCGGCCGTATATCGGCTGAAATCAGCCATACATCGGGTGGCTTCACGTGGCTTCGGGTCGGCCGACCCGCACTGCAGGAGGAGTTCGACTTAGCCGATCCAACATGTGGATCGGCTAAGCCGAACGTCCGGCAGGCTACTCGCTGCTGTTCGGTTTATTCTTATAGATGCCGAACAGCAGTGAGTGAATATCCAAATGCCGCTGAGCGCCATTCGGCTCGGCTGTTCTGCTCGGTCCCTCAGAGGGACCGAGCAGAACAGAAAAGTAGTTAAAAAAGTAAAAGAAAAAAAATAGAAAACGATTGTGCGGAGCTAGCAATGAGAGCTAGCTCCGCCCAATAGTTTTCTATTGGCCGGCGGTTCTGCTGCTGTCAAAGAAAAAAGAAGAAAAAAACCTCTCCCGGGCGCTCTGGGAGTCTCCCTCTCCCGGTCGCCCAGGAGAGAAACACTGATTTTTCTTTTTTCTTTATTCTGACACGGAGCAGTGTCAGAATAGAAAAAAAAAATAATAATTTTGCCCATAGGAATGCATTCCTAGATTCCTATTGGCTATTTCAATTTGCAACAGCCAATAGTAAACTAGCATTGCACCCGCCCTCTGCTGCTGTTCTCCATCAGGTCCATCAGCAGAGGGTGGGTGCAATGCTAGTTTACTATTGGCTATTGCAAATTGAAATAGCCAATAGGAATCTAGCACTGCATTCCTATGAGCAAACATTTTTTTTTCTATTCTGACACGGCTCCGTGTCAGAATAAAGAAAAAAAAAAGAAAAAGCAGTCTTCCTCTCCTGGCGGCCGGGAGAGTTTGCTGTCTGGAGATCAGTGTCCCTGGTGAGCTGCTAACCAGGGACGCTGATCTCTCTGTAAGTGACCGGAGCCGGCCGTAAGGTCATGGCTGGCTCCGCCCAGCTGTCAGAAGCAGGCTGTCGGCCGGCCGCTCGGCCAGCTTCGGCTTTCAGCGCGGCTCAGCCGAGCTGAGGCATATGCCTTCGGCTCGGCTACATTCGGGAGCTGTATGGGCTATTGTGAATATACTGAACCGAAGGGGTCCTGGGGCCGAAGCTAGCCAAACAATCGTCCGAAGCTACGGCTAGATCCTTCGGCTGCTTCGTGAATAGACCACAAAGTGTATGGCTTTGTACACCTTGTGATGCACTTGGAATGTATTCACCTGGTCTTTAAAGCATACACTATTTTTGTTTTTCTTTTAAATATTTTTATGTATTGTTCACATTTTATCTAGTATATGTTTTTATTGTAATGCATGTTCTTCTAGTGGCTATGTGCATATCAGGCATAGCAGTCATCTTCCCTGCTATGGTACAAATAATTGCATGGGAGTCATGTCATCCCAGCCAATCAAGATGGCAGAAAACTCCTGAACCTGGAAGAAGGGGAGAAGATAGAAGCGCTAGCTTTTTGCCTTGAAACAACGCGGGAGTTCATGTAAGTCGCAGCGCTGGAGGTGGCACTTTAAAAGGTAATTGTGTCATAATGTGCAAATATGTACAGCATACGTCCTGTGACACAAATTATGTGTTAATGCAGTAAGTGCAAATACCTAAATTCGGCTTGATATCAGCCTCTTAGAATCCCTTGGGAAGCAGCATTCAGATTGGGAGAAGGTGAGGCAGAACTGGGAACCAGCCAGGTTTGCTGCATGCAAATATGCTGATATGAGGAGAGAGCAGAGAGATGATCTTCTCAGTTTACTGCTGCTTCTTCACTATCCTGTCACAGATTAGGGGTAGAGAGAGGACTCCACTATCTGTATTCCTTAACGGTAACAGAGAAAGTGGGGTCATCTGTCTAGTTGTGCTATGTAAAGCCCACGACCAGTGGCGTCACAAGGGGGGTACACCTTCACTGGGTGACATTATCAGAGGGTGTGACACCAAAATGCCTGACCGTCATTTTGGTCTCACCCCCTCTGAAAAGTCGGGCACTCAGTCATGGACCGAGAGCCCGATAGCTGCACGAGAGAGAAGGGGACCCAGTGGCATACCTTATCCCGCTGGATGAACGCACCCTCCTCTCTCTGTAGGCATCCACCAAAGAAATGGCTGCCGACAGTTAACTGTGCATGATGTCCCAGTGGGTGACACCCAGCGGCCGCTCCGGTTGACACCTAGCCTGGGTACTCCTCTGCCCAGGACTGAATGAAAAGAAATACAAATCCCTTGACAAGTAAAACATCTTCTATATTACATCTGTGTGTTTAGCTGCTTGCTTGGCGTTCAGCTATAATTGGTGCATATAATAAATAAAATTGCTATTACCCGAAGCAGTAAAATATTATGAGAATACATAATGCTCCATAGTTTGCCCAAACAGCATTCTAAGGCATGTGCTTGGTATAATTTGCTCAGGAAGTGTGTGAGGCCGACACTGGAAAGTTTTATTATATTGACAAATTCCAATATTCTGTTTCACTCCACTGCATGTAAAAGCATTATGTGATTTATTGCACTGTAGAGAGACCAGAGCTTCTCCAAACACAGAGTTCAAGTATGCTCTTGACAACAGATAAAGTGAACTGAGCTTTACTGGTCTGCTTTTTTCGAATAAAGTGGGAATGGATTTAGTTTTTCATAAGACTGCTGGAAAACACAAGGTTTACCACAGTTTAGCTTTAATGGAACACTTCAAAAATACATATGAACTGAATGATCAAGGATAGAAAACTGTAAGAGAAGAATATATTCTGTATGTAGATATTGACCAACAAATTAAATTTCCTTCAGCCCTGGTTCACACCTAGGCGTTTTTGAGCAGTTCAAAAAAGCGCTTTTAACTGCCCAACCCTAGAAATCCCTAGTTCACACCTGAGCAGAAAAACACCAAACAGGAAAACGCCAGACGCCTGAAAAGATACAGGAGCTTCTTTGGGCAGTTAAAAGCACTTTTTCTCCCATAGACTTCATTGGAAATGCCCAAAAACGTGCAACAGAAGCATGTTGCACATTTTAGTGAGCGTTTTTGCGCGTTTATATGCCCACAATGGTTTATGAGCTGCCAATCAAAACGCGCGTCTTCATGTATGCGCGTTAAAACACGCATACAAATGTGCACAACGCGCAAATAACCGCATGCTGCTAACGTGCGTACAAACGCGCAAAAACGGTGCTGGCTAGGTGTGAACCAGGGCTCAAGAGATATTGTTACTTTTCCCTTTCAGGGCAACCCCACATCAACATATACATACCCATCCCCGCTTCATGACCACCACCCCGCTTTATTGGAGGCCTTACTCTTTGATGGAACAGGGTATGGAGGATGATGTGACCTCCGTGATATGACAGTTATCGAGCCAATTACCGGGCTCATACGAGGGAGGGGAGAAGGAACACAGTCATTATTCTGCTGGATAAGCTCCAAAACTGGAGGTTAGTCAGGTAGTCTCCTCTATTAGCAGGGTGGTAAGGAAGCGTAGATGGGTGAGTATACTTTGCTTGGGATGGGCTATCAGGATTGAGAGCCACTTTGTCCTGAATAAGTAGGTTATAGTGTCACTTTATGATTTACCAGAAACTATGTAGTGTGAGGGCCTACCTTACTAGATATAAACTGAATGGATAGTTTAGGTAGGCCCTTGCACTAAATAGACGTTGGTAACGCTAATGCAAATTTTACAGAATTTGTACAAACCTGTACAGTAAGATTGTAACATGTGTGGCCAGTTTAAGAGCAAGAAAGAAAAGAGTTAATTTCACATATAGGCATGTATACAGTATGTATATGTAAGTCATTTCTATGTAAAACTTGTATATCAGATTTGCATGGCTGTTGGTTAATTGGCAAATATCACAGACTGGCGTCCTACATCTTTCAGGAGCTCCAGGGGGTAGATATCCCCAAGAGTGATGCATAGCAGGTGTAAACCCTAAGGCCCCTTTCAGATGGGTGATCACATCAGGCTCGCCTGTATGTTTTTCAGGCAGATCTGATCGGAAGCCCGATGATATTCAGTGAGCAGCCAGATCTAAAGGGACGTCCAGGTCTGGAAAACAAAACAAAGCAAAACAGATATCTGTTTTAGAGAACCTGATCGCGACAGTTTAGGGGTAACCTGATATAAAGACACATGTCTGCCTATATCTCACCTCCTTATTGACCTAACTTGGGTCCGGTAAGTAAAAATTTTTCCTCCATCGCAAGATGGAGGAAAAAACTGTATTAGATCTTTGTATTAGATTTTAGTGATTGGGTTTACATCTACAATTCCGTCCTTGTGCAATATTCATTCGAAAGCCAAATGGTTGGATTCTCCATAATGCAGAATAACAAATGAATGGGGAATCTCGCTATGAAATAATAACACATGTATTGTGGCATCAGAGAGGGAAGAGACGCTGCAGGGAAAGCTGACTAATGGAAACCAGACCAGGAAATCTAAGAATTTGATGAGTTATTGGCATATATAAGAATGTGTGCCTTTGGGAAAGTGCGGTACATTTGAGAACTTGGAATTTTACAACTTTGCATTTACATCTGCTTAAACTGCCTCAAAAATTGTCATGTCCTGTTCATTCAGAAAATAGTAATACGACCAGAAATCACCCTTGTCATTATTAAAAATTGCAGCCCCAGATAGCAGGATGAAATAGCTGTAGGTTGGATCTTTCATCTTTTGCCTTGAATTAATATAATATGTACAGGGTGATGATTGGATTATTATCAAAATATAGAGAGAAAGAGGTCAATATAAATCTCTCCACTTTGCATTATAACTGCCTATTGTTAATTTGCAGTGTGCAGGCGGTCTAGCTGCAGAATGATGAAGTTCAGTGCCAAGCTAAAACTACTGCTGTGGAAGAACTGGACACTCCGGAAACGTCAAAAGGTATTCAGTATATGCTGGAACAAATATTTTTTATGCAATATTTTTAGTAATTACCAAGATAAAAAGTGCACTTATGTTGCTATGTAATTGAGTATATGAAAAAGATTGGAAAGTAAGATATAAAATGTATCTAATCTTTTATAGCGATGCATAAGTGGTACTTTGCATCTGCTCAGAGCTAGATTTCCCAATGAGCACCATATTTTGTTATCACCCTCTTAAAGGTTGAAAGGCCCCTATAATTACAAACAACGCCCAAAATCAAGACCATTGTCCGTAATTACTGGGCTGTCTGTGACCAGCATTAGACTGGTCATACACTAATAATTCTTTTCCGTATGAAAAAAACAACAGATTCCTCCATTTATGCTAAACAGTGTGGGTGAAGGAATCCCCCAACTAGGCTATGGTGTTAAGCAGCGGCAGCTCCAGTGACCGCTGAATACCTGGACAGTGCCTCCATCTGCTTGGATGCAGGCACTGCCTATCCAGAAATGTTTGGACTGGCTTCTTCAACTGAAGTTAATTAAAAAAATAACTTTTGTTGAGCAAAGGGGTGTTAACAAGGTCATCTGCAGCTCTAATTTTGAGTGAGTAGGAAATTCAACCTGTGCATGGCCAGCTTTAGGTGGGCCTTCCAAATAAGGATACTGTGTTAAAAAACATAATTCTGCTCTTGTATTCTGTTATATTTTCTTTCACTAGTCAAACATGTGTTTGCTTAATCAATAGGAATGAGAATATGCAAAGTACTATCCATAGTAGACTTGAGTAGTGTGGTTATGGATGCCCTGTATGGTTATGGTTGCCTGTTTTGCTTATATATAATGTTAAACATTTGTGTATTGCTTTGACAGTACAATACCAGAAGCAGAAGTTGTACTAATCTGTCACTGTAGAACCCAAGCTTGAGACCATTTCTACTCCATACATAAAGAGTCACCTGCCAGTTTATGCTTGCAGTGCATTTGGTTTCAGCTGTAGAAGCCTGGTGGCTTTGCCACAAAGCGCCATGTGCAGAGAACCCTTCCTGTATCCCTCACACTATCCCCCTATACAACCTTCATTAAAGTGACACTGTCATAAGAGATTATTGAAGGCTGCCATTATGGAACTCTCCTGTAGGAATGTTAGTTCTCAGACTGTCATACTGATACTTTGAATTCAAGGCTGTGTGAGTCAGTGACCTGGAACAAGTACAGAGATAAGTTGTTCTGACAGTCATTTAAAGCATGCTTGTTCCAGGGCTATGACTGAAACATCATGAAGTCAGACACAGCCAGGCATCCATTTATTATTGGAATTTATATAGTGGCAACAATTTATGCAGAGCTTTATATACTACACATTCACATCAGTCCCTCTCCTCAAGGAGAGGTTCCCATCTCACATACTATGGCAATTTTGACAGGAGACAATTAACCTACCCCAATGCCTTTGGAGTTTGGGAAGAAACCAGAGTACCTGTAGGAAACCTACACAAGCACAGGGAGAACATGCAGACTCCATGCAGATAGTGTCCTCAGCGGTATTTGAACTGAGGATTTCAGTGCTGCAAGACAGAATTGCTAACAACCAGGTCTTTTTTAGAAGGAGGCTTTAAGGGCTGCCCCATTCATTTCTTATGACATAGTCACTCTAAACGGCACACTAAACCTTCCTGTGACCCAAACCTCACACTTAGCCAGAGACAGGATTACTAATGTAAAGCAGAATAAATACTCATCTGGTTCTATTCCTCGCTGGCCAGATGAGTGAGCCTTTGCTGCAGTATGTCAGTGACAGCTCGCCCATCCAGCCATGAAGGGAGGGACACGTAGAACCAGGGAACTTTTTACTCTGCTCCTCATAGTAATCCTGTCACTGGTTTACTGCTAGCCTGACATGACCCTAAGCCTCAAAATACCACACTGGTAGATTGCTAGCCTGACATGGCACATAGCCTCACACTAACCCCACTGGTAAATTGCTAGCCTGACATGGCCCAATCCCTTACACTAACTCCACTAGTAGATTGCTAGCCTGACATGACCCTAACCCTCACACTGCCTTTGACACAATAACCCCTATACTAATCCTGTAACCATCACAGTAATCCTCTCTGAAACCCTCATATTAAATATATTAGAAATATTTTAAAAATGCACAAGAATAATGGAAGATAGATGATGGCTGGGTGCTTTGGGCAAACACCCTTTCGACAAGTTCATTTTTAAAAATAATGATGGCATTATATTTCCAAGATCAAGATGAGGTGAGAAAGTGAAGTGCCAGACATGTCATATACCATACACGTTCCTCAGCCTATAGTAGCCATTATTCACTGCAGACAGACAAGGTCCATGTGTGTCATGCCATGCCAATTGTCTCATGTGAAACTAATGTTACTTTATATTTGCTTAAACGTGCCCATACACCTAATGATTATCGTACGATAATCGCAGGTGTTCCCGCGATCGTACGATTATCGGCAGGTGTATGGGCAGCGTGGGACCGCATTTACTGTGCGGTCACATGACTTTCCTCTTACAAGCATGCTAGAAAACCCTAGAAAAAATCGTACGATTTTCGGCGGGTTGGTAGAGCAATCGCAAGACGAAAGCCGCACGTGACGGTGTGCGCAGGCGCACACTGCCCGCTCAGCATTGCAATCATCGGCAAGCCCTCCCCTCAGTGGGGAGGGCTTGCGATGATCGCAAGTACGATCTGCCTGTCCAAGATGGGCAGGTCATACGAAATTTTAATGACCTTACAACCATCGCACAACGAAAGTCGTGCGATGGTTGTAAGGTGTATGGGCAGCTTTAGTGTAATTACTTTCAGGGCACCTGAGCATGTCTTCATGTCTAATGCTGCTCATTGTGAAGTTCCAGCCAAAATATTCATTAAGCTTTTATAACTGCTCCACTGTTTCTATCATTTATTTACAATGTACTTTGTTTGTAGCTATAGCCATTGTTTGCATTTTAACTTTTTTTTTTATTGAATATAATATTCATTTGATTTTTTAATCATTTATGTGACCAGCTTCGCTTTTTTGTGGAACTTTTCTGGCCTTTGTCACTAATCCTTGTCCTGGTGTGGCTAAGAAATGCAAATCCACTCTATGGCCAACATGAATGTAAGTATTATGTTTTTATATACACAATGTAAGTGAATGAATAGGAAGAACTGTCATCTCTCTCTATACTGGCGGGGAACTCTCTATACTGGGGGAGGAATATAAGCTCCTTCTGAAATGCAAGTAGCCTGGCTGTCATGCTGATCCAATAACTTCAGAAACTAATTTGAAACAAGTTTACATGGCAGAGCTTGTTCATGCTTGTTGTGGGTTATTACTAAAGCCAGAGACAGTCAGGCAATAAGCATTTTCAGGAAGTCAGCAATGGTAGTGCACATATATCTGTCATTAAAGGATTCCTTTAACTAATGTCAAGACTCTGTGTACACTAACATTTAAAGAATCCGTGGTCTCTATGGTTAATATAAAGATGATGGATAAGCATGCATCAACCTTAAAAGAGAGTATTTGACCCAAACTCCCAGAGATCTCCACACATTTCCAAGACTAGTGTACATGGGCCTGAAAGGTCAGTTTGTGCCATGATTTTATTCCTCCATTCAAGGCAATGTAATGGGATAGAAATCATACAGTAACACGTGTAAATGTGTGATAAATAAATGGCAAACATATGATAAAAGCATACAAACTGATGGCATATGCATCTTAAATATATCAATCCCACACATATACTTAAACCTAAGCCTAAATGTATTTTAAGACAAATGACTAATTTAACATAAGTACAGCTCTCAGGGGATAGAAAGGTAAAGGAAAATGATTTTTTTTTGTTTTAAGCAAGTAATTTTTATTGAAGAATTTTCAATAATATAAGCATACAAAGCAGGCTTAATCGCAGAGTTACAACAGTGTCAGCGACTATAGGTCCTGTAGGACATGGGTAAGTAAGAATACATTACAATATGTAACAGAGAACACAAAAAATCCAACAGACAATAAACAATAAAATATAACACAGACATAGCGCAAGAATATTAAAGGTCTGTGTCAACAGGCTTTTGTTTGCTTCAAACAGGTTTTGCATTCCCATATAAGCCTATTGGAGTGCAAAAAAGGCTTCGAATGAGAAGGGATTACAGTAGTTACCTTTTACAAACTGTAACCCCATAGGTTATGTTCAGGTGGGCCAATGAAAACCAGTAAGCCCTCCACTGAACCAGTGTGTAGCACAGTATAACCTTCTTATAACAAAAGGTATTCCCATGCCTCAACCAGCAGTTCAGAATACCCTGGTGGCACAATGGCTTCAAGGAATGATTTGCATGGCTTTCTCTACTATGCCAACATGAAGAATAATCCCCTTATTTTTGGGATATGAGATAGAAAGATACATGTGAATACCTTCTGCTCTAAAACAGCTTTACTGTGATATTCACTGGTTTATTGGAGAGCTTTTTAGTTATTTTAAGCCCACCCTAATATAAAGCTAATCAGTTTTATTTATTTTGTTTATTGCATACAAATTCGTTCTTGTGTAGCAGAAATACACATGCCCACCTTTCATCTGCAAAAGATTGCAAAATGGCATTTACCTGCTATGGCCATGTATAGTCAGACAGCTTTGTATTGTTAGATAGCAGATAACATATTCCAGAAGGTATATTTTATGACTTGATTTATTGTAAAGAATGACTGTATTGTAACTCTACTGGCCTGCAGTTACCTTTTCAGCATTAAGAAGACAATTATTTATATTTGTTTAACATACTATTTTCTTATCAGTAGTAGGAAAGTTTCCACCAGTCATTGCAGAGAATAGAGCATTATGATTTGCCCCTTGACGGCATGGGTTTAATACATGCATACCTTCTAACAGATAAAATCCAGACACAAGTAAGAAAGAAGGGGAAAAGAAAACACTTCACAGGCAACCCTTTTGGAATGTAGCACATAGACTTCTGATGTTTTGACAAGTGCTGTTTTAGAAACAAAGCTCAATTTTAATTCTTTTCCTCCCATTATTTATCCATTTACACAGGCCATTTTCCAAACAAGGCGATGCCCTCGGCAGGGATGTTGCCATGGTTACAAGGAATTTTCTGCAATACCAATAACCCTTGTTTTCGAAGCCCTACACGTGGAGAGTTGCCTGGCATGGTTTCAAACTACAACAATTCCATGTAAGCAGTCATGCCTGTATTAAGCGATTAGCCTTGATGGCAATTTATTTACATTCTACTGATATCTTCATGAGACATGGCATTTGTTGGTGATTCTTCATACTTAGCTATACGTTTTCACGTCAAGCAAAAAGTTCATCCGCAGGTGAAACATTCTCCTGCATTCTTTGAAATACATTACAAGGCATGGTAAATACCATAGAAAAATGTGTGGCAGGGGTATGGGGGAAGGGGAATTTTCAGAAGGCACCTGTGTTTAGTCTTTCGAGAAAGAAATACGAAATTCAGTAACAAGGGTTCATTTATTTCCCAGAAAGAAAAAGGCAGTAATGTGCCTATCTCTATGTACGTGTCTTGTTAACAAGCAAATGCTTTGCTCCCTGCTAGCTTGTGTACTCCAAAAAATATGAAGCCTGCCATTGCTTGCCTTTTCTACTGAAAATGCTAGATGTCTGGCTGTCATACTAGTGCTTTGGCATCACTGATCTGGAAAAGAGATAAATAATTTTTATTTTGTTCCAGCTTTTGCTTGCTGCATGTTTGTTCTTGGTTGGGGAACCAGAGGGATTAAAGCTAGCCACAGATGGTCGATTAGCATTTTCAAAAGTAAAGCCTTCATATTTTTCTTATGACAGGATAATAATAAGCACAAGGAGGGTTCCTTTGGGACCTTATTGCTATATATGAATTTCCCCTTCACCTTCCTACCCAAAATATATTTGCTTTGATAACATTCTGGAGACGAAAGGTTTCTATTTCATAGCTTTGATTCAGCATGATATACTGTGCTTAGGTTGCCAGGTTTGACCAGATACGTTGCAGAATGAATCGCCAAGTAGAAATCTTGGTTGGCCTGATCTGCAAATGTATGGATCTTATGTAATCTTGTTCCTGGTTGGGGAATCACCATTATTAAAGCCAGCCAAAAACAGTTGATTAGCATTTTTTAACGGAGACCAACAATGGAAGTCTTCATATTTTCTCATGACAGAAGTACATTACGGGGCCCTCATATGAGAAAAATAATCACAAAAAGGGTTCCATTGAGACCTTATTGCCACAAACGCATTCCCCTGTTACCTTTCCACCCAAAATGTATTTGTTTGGATAACATTCTGGTGGTTAAAGGTTGTCCCCCAAATTATATAGACATTTGATACTTACTTAGGTTCCCCATGCTAAATTTGACTAGATATGTTGCAGAGTGGGTCACCTGCCTCCAAGTAGAAGTCTTAGTTGACCTAAGCTGCATATGTATGGATCTTATTTAATCCTGTTCCTAGTTGGGGAATCAGCGATATTAAAGCCAGGCACAGACAGTTGATTAGCAGTTCAAAAGGAAACCAGCAATGGAAGTCTTCATAGTTTTCTCATGACAGAAGTACTTTATGGGGCCCTCATGTGTGAATAGTAATCACAATAAAAGTTACTTTCAGACCTTATTGCTACATATGGATTCCCCCATTGCCTTCATACTCAAAATGTATTTGCTTGGACAACATTCTGGTGGTGAAAGGGTCATACTTCATAGGGTTGAGTCAACAATTACAATTGCCCCCAAATTATATAGAAATTTGGCATTTGTTTAGGTTTCCCATGACAGATTTGCCAGATACATTGCAGATCAGTCACCTGCCACCAAGTAAAAGTCTTGGTTGGCCTAATCTGCACATGTATGGGTTTTTCTAATCTTGTTGCATGGAGACTCTAGACCACACTGTAAAATACTCAAAAACCCTGGAGCACTATTTTTGAAGGACCTGTGTCAAGGAGTTTCGATGAGCATGCTATGGATATTGGTATGTAAGTCTCAACATCATAGAGTATTTTGTTGAATGCTACACAGTCTCATAAGTGGTCCTTATAAAGGACCAGATGTTGATGATTTTGGATAACATAAACAATTGTTACCTGTTGCTTTTCTGATTGATAACTATTCCGAATTCCCGGGGGAACCTTTTACTTTTTGTAATACATATACATAGGTATGCTGTGCTATTTTACCAGTATATGAACAAGATCCAAATTATATTCAAGATGTAACTCAGGGGGAAAAAAAGAAAAAATCCTAATAATGTCTGTGCGGTCATGGGGTCACCAAGTGACAGGACACAGACCTTAGACTTGAAAACAGTAGACAGGTGAAAAAACTGCAGACAGCAAGCAGAGGTGGTTAAATCCCCTTTTAGTACTGGGAAAACAAAAACCTCATTGTTAGCACTAGCTGCCCGCTACAGGATATGTGACACGTGTGATAAGAAAATAGGTGTTGTGGTGTCTAATATAGTCCTAGTCACTGCCAGCTTTCTATGTTTTTTCTTTTTTCCCAGAGCATCCTGTAGCCTATATACATATGAATACATTTAACTAACATACTTGATAGCAAAATATTGTAACAGATAAGCAATGCCATTAAGTAATCTATGGTGGACACTTGATACTCTTTATCATGACCTGTATTGAGGATACATCCCCCTCTCATCTTATTCTGGGATTCCAACGCTGCCCAGCGCCCATTGAAGTCCACATTATTTAATTAAAATGTCTAGATATTGTTGTCAATAGCCTACTGATCTTTCAGGTGAATCATTGAATCTAAGGAAGTATTTTGTTACTATTGGTAGGTTAGAAATATTTTGTGTGTTTCATACATGTCATGGCACAAGGGAATACTTGTTCTTATATGTAACCAAAGGTTGAGAGATATTACAATGTCAGACTTGACACTTCCACTCCAGTTTCATTAGTATAGCACAATCTAGCTTGTATCCTCTATATGCTTTAATGATTAAAAGCATTTATATTATTTAATTGTGTCTTCTCTTAATTATAGTCTAATATATTAGTCATTTTTTCAATAACCTATACCTATTAAATGACAACATACATATCCATATACACATGGTCTAATAATGTGATTTACACAGAAAGCATGAAAACTAAAGTTTGAAGCATTATAAATTATATTTAACAGTGTGACACAATCTGAGAATGTATCAAGATCTTCATTGGTGGTTTGTATGTTTCGATACAGAAATCTTGAATGTTTCTATGCAGAAGCGGTGATTTTTACTCTACCTCCAGGATGCACAACTATACAACCAGGGGCATAGTCCATCCTCTCCATTTGCAGACTGTGAAACACACACGCCAGCTCATTCTTTTTTAGCCATGACTGGTCACGTGCCTATTCATGATTTAGTTAGCATGCATGTGTGTTAGCATGCACTGCCATGTGCATCTTTCTGGTGGCTGGTGCTGTGTCTTCTTGACAGCCACCGTGTGCGCTAGTTCCTGGTGTTCCTGATTTGCCCATTGTCTCCTGCCCCTTTGCTGACTCTACCTCTTCCTGCCCACTTTGTTGCCTCCTACCTGCCCTGAACACAGACCAAATACCTACCTCTCTCTTGTCTGCAACTTGTGCCAACTTCAGCCTGGATACTGACTGCTCTCTCTGCTTGCTGCCTGCTCGGACCCTTGCCTGGACACCAACTACATTCTCACCTGCCTTACCTCGTACCTCACCTGCCTTACATTGTCACCTCGTACTCTGACCTCCTGCTTTCTTGTAACCTGTCTCTGCACCGTAGTCCCTCTGTTCATGTGAATCCACGGTGGGGTGATTCCAAGGACCGCAACCTGGTGATAGCTCACAGCAAAGTAGCCCAGGTGGCACTGGGGGTCAATGGCCCATCACTCCTTATGGGCTTCTCTAGTGAAGATCAAGCTGTGGCTTAGACTGTGCACCTTGGGTAAGCCTGCAACTCCTGCTAGTGTTGTTTTCCATAACAGATTGTTGCACAATCTGGCCAATTAAGGCTGGCTTAAGAGGTGATCACAAGGCAGTGGACAGTCCGTGATTGATGCGTTCAACCCCTCTGGCCCACTAATCTCATGGGGGAAGTACTTTTGCTTATTGTTCCAAGCCAATCACTTTTGTTATTTGTTAAGACAGTACAAGGGTGTCTGTACTACTGTATAAGCAGTTGCCCCATAATGCAGGCATGTTATCTTGTTGAAAGTCAAGATCATTTTAACTCATAGTGACAACTGCAACATTCAACATTTTGACTCATAGACGGAGCCCTAAATATTCCCCCAAATTTTCCTGAAGTATGCTTCTGCAAAATGATTTAAGGAAGTGTAGCCCTTTATCAGTTTGAGAACAATGGGGGCCTTATTTAATTCAAATCCTCAAAACAGCCATGGTCTTCAAAAGAGGAGTGAGAGAGCCACATGTGTATTTTAAAAAATCCAGTTTGATATGTGTAATTTTAACTGTACTTGCTGAAAATATGTTGTTGCTTCCCTTTAAAAATTCTGTAACACTGAAGAAGTTTAGTAAATCCAGTAGTTTGAGCTGACTGATTATTTTAAAGAGGAACATATCATGAAATAATCAACATTCTCAGTTTGTATTTATTTATTTTTATTCATGGGCTAGTCTAGCTCACACTACCTTAGCAGCAGCCCTACCTGCCAATTGGCGTCTGCTAATCTCCAAGCACCTGCACTGTATTTCCTGAGAACAGTGCAGGTCTCTGAAGCTTTATCAGTTTGCTGGTTTAGCCGCTTTCCATTACAAATAACCATTTGTTCTTTGCTTCTTCTAAGACTTGCCAGAGCTTATAAAGATGCTCAAGATGTCCTTTTAGAGAAGCCAGAAATCCAGCACCTTGGAAGGATGTGGAAGGAACTGTATACAATGTCTAATTTAATGGATACCCTTCGGACCAACCCTGGAAAAGTTTCAGGTACATTTCTAAGTTCTGATTTGAGATTTCTTGCCTATTTAAAGAAAACTTGTCAGCCATTTTAAACTTTAATACAAGTAAAATATATGAGCAGTCACCACAAGGTGCCATCAATGAACTTAAAGTGTATTAAACGCTGATGTCTGGGTACAAAAACTGTAGTTTAAGGCCCCATTCACACTGCGCGATTTGCAAATCGCGCGTTTGGCGCGTGATTTGCGCGATATCGCGCAAATGCTTGCATTGCAAAGAAGGGAATCACGGCAAAATCCGCTCCAAAAAGGGTCCTGCTGTAGCAACACACGACCCGCGACAGCAGGACCCTTTGCCCCATTGAGATGCATTGAAGAGCGATATCGCGCGGTAAATAGCCGCGATATCGCGGGAATTACCGTGCGATAAATCGCTCAATGTGAACGGGGCCTAAATGTGTTCCTCAATAACCATAAAGGATATAAATCCACCTTGAGTTCACCTAATGCTTGTACACATATAGACATTATCTTGTAAAAATAGCAGTGACATCATCACTGTGCTGTACATAGCCTGTGCCGAGAGCAGAGCTGTGGGAGGGACCCAGCAGGCCCGACCCAGTACAGTCTGCCTGCAGAAAACTACAAGAGGGGCGGAGACAGGACCAGTCAGAGCAGCAGTGATCAGTATTTATTACAGGAAGCTCCTGCACATAGGCAAAGTTTTTCCCTGGATTACTTCACAGGTCCGGAAGAAATACACAAAGCACAGCAAGGTACAAGTAAGAATACACATGACACTTGTATTTAGATAGTATTTGCTTATCCTATCAATACATTCTAAGTCACTGAAAAGAGGAAGTGTGTAAATCGGGAATAAAAATCTCCTAATTGGCGAAATACCTAGATGCCATTGGTCTTACTTTGGGTGCCTCTGCTATCCTACTACCACTTTTTGGGGGACATGTTCTCCCTCTTGTCACAACACATTTGGTCCTTCCAGCGGCAAAGCTTTGGATTATCCAATACACACCCTGATGAGCATTGAGTGTGACCTCTGCGTGGGGACAGAAATATTCCCTGCACGCCTCTTATCTGTTGCCTGATATCCCTAATGGGATGTCCCATGTGAGTATTGGTTACTTATCACATATCACCTACTCAAATTATCTTGATTCATCATACTATTACAACGACTACACTGGATTACTGCTGGGACTTTTGTCCTCACTTTTCTTTTCCTACTTCTTTTCAGAGTTTTTTTTTATCTCAAGTGTTAATCAGGAGTTCTCTTCTTTGACTTTGCTTGCTACATGCATGTTCTTGATCAGCAACTCAGAAAAAATTTAGGTCGGAGACAGCCAGGCAACTCTCATTTTGAGGAGGAGGTCACAAATGTCAGCCACCATATTTCTCTTTGTACTAGTTTCCTTAATTAGGACCATAGGTGGTGACCTGCGACACTGAGATAGATGTCAAATTTTACAACTATAGTGTGTGGTCACCACACAGCAAACCTCCCACATGATATTTTCACTATTAAACCTCAGCCTGTTCATAGCCTTATTTAAAAAAAATATATTCTTCTATTTGGAATATAAGCAAAGAAAATATTTGATTGGTTGTTCTTGGCTGGTGCACATTTTTAATTTTATGTTAGCCAATCATGCCAATGGGATAGTATTTGTTCATCCATTACTAAAGCATTGTGCCATTTTTTTGTTCTTTCACAGAACAAAAAAGAATTACATGCATCTAAAGAGCAAGCAACATAAACCGAGACACAAAGGGATTGATTTACTTAAGTCAATTAGTATTTCACTCAGCTGACTTCCATCATCCAATCATGTGCAAACATTTTTTTTTCTTGCACATGATTGGGTATTCTTTGCAATGTGAACTTTCACCACAGTCACTAAGCTAAGGGAAAAAGTGAACAGTCTATTTGCCTTTAATAAATCAACCCCTTAGTGTCCAGGTTTATGTTGCTTGCTCTTTATATCAATATAATTCTAGTCCGTTTTTGTGCCGTAAATTGTTCTGAGAAAGAGCAAAATAATGTCACAATGCTTTAGAAATGGATGAACAAATACTATTCTGTTGGTATGATTGGCTAACATAAAATTGCAAATGTGCACCTGCCAGGGGCAACCAACCCAAAGAATCTAAACTGAAACGGTACCCAAAATACTCTTTTGATAACTCTAAAAACAGAATCTGTGGCAACGGCTGAAGCTAATTTCCGTGTTTCAGCAAATGTGGCGGCATTTGAAAGGCTAAACACTTAGAGGCCAAGGAGCTTTGCTAACTACAAGTGCACAGCATACTTTTAAAACAAAGGATAAAAGTAGTTAGGTGTAGACGCTGTACTTCAGATTAATGTATGTAAGACACAGACCCACATGTCTGTATATCCTCCAGCTACTCTAATATAGCTTCACTCGTTTATCACTGTCATAGTTAAGTGGGACTTTCAAAGATCCCGTTGAAGTGCAAATACCAGACTACTAAAAATTTCAAACAATTGTAACTAGTGTTCTGTAGCTGGGTTCTAGACTATAAGCAGAATCGCTTTCATAGTGCATTCTCTGTTACAATCACTGAAAATGTTTAATGATGAGTCTATATGGGTTGTCATTTAAAAAACGAATTGCTATTGTTAAAAACATATCACATATATTAAACATATCACATAAACCTATTATACCGTACACGACTTCTGTTGTCAAAACAACATCTCTATACCAAGAGTATATCATGTACATGTATACATACCTCATTTATATGACAAATTTTACATGTATATGGAACATTCACATATTTAAAGTGCTTTTATTAGGAAATTCCAATTTTCATTTACCATACAAGGCAAATTACCAGGTGGTCAAAACTAAGACTGAAGCTTTATGGTGACATAGATCAAGAGCTAATAGGAGATTTACAATGATAATTGTTGAATGCCTTGATTAGATAATATTAAGTTAGTAATAAAATGAAAATTAAAAAATACATTAGGTAGGTTTAAATGTTTTATTATATAGGTAAGGTTTGGAAGTAGGGATGCACCGAAATGAAATTTTGAGACCGAAAATAAAAAAAATTGTCAGGCCAAAACCTGAAAACCGATAATGACGTGTTTTTATTTTTCAACCTTGTAAAAAAAATTACGTTATTTTTTTATATATTGTTTTTTTTACATTACTGCTGGGGGCTCTAGGGAAATATCAGGGGTCTGAACAGACCCCTAATATTTCCCTTTTAAAATAGAAAAAGAGATTGAGGACATAGAGTAAGCACACTAGGTCCAGTTATTTACAAACACTTAGCGATCATGCAATGCAAGAATAAAGCCACTCTCATCCTGAATAGGCTGGGCTGTGATCTGCCACAGGAGGAGAGGGGGGCTGTGGGGGTGGAGAGCTCCGCCTCCTGTGGCAGATCACAGCGCTCTCCTCCAATCACCGCTCTCCATCCTGAAACAGGAGGCGGAGCCGGGGGTGATGGAGAAGAGCTCCGCCTCCTGTAAGATGACAGCTGTCATCGCCTGCACACTCGGCATCCTGACTTCTATCACCGCCGCTCAGCCTCCTGAAAGCTTCTGTCCTCCCCACTGGGCACTGGCCCTGCAAAACAGAAGGCACCCAGTGGGGAAGAGAGAAGCTAGGGATACACTGAATTTTTGGCCGCTTTTGTGGCCATTCAAAGTACTTTCGGCAATTTTCCAGAAGTACAATTTTCCGCCGAAAATTTTGGTGCATCCCTAGTGGGAAGCTCTGTTGGGTTTTTATTGATGTCTGTATTTCCTGAGCAGGAGATTTTCCCTCATTTCCTATCCCAAAGACAGGATACCACAGGGACAAGAAGTCATGAGAAATATACAGTAAATGTACAGTGGAGTGAGAAAGGGGCTAGAATCTCTGTCAAGTATTTTTGTTTTGTATTTTCCTAGCATAGTGACACCTGTTACTCTTATTTCTTGTCCTGGTGGCACAGGGACAGGAAGGAAGTTAAAATCTATCTAGTGGGAACATAGACAGCAATCAACAGTGCTGAACAGAGCTTCTAACCCTTCGGACCTCTATTCAAGACTATAAAAAAAATTTGGGCTGGAGTTGTATCATTATTATTAGGGTTGCACAGATACTTTTTGAGTACCAGTGCAGATACTTGGCATTTTCATGAGAACTACCAGGGTTGCAGGGGTTGCAGCCGCGACCGGGCTCTGGTGCTCCACCACTGTCCTGAAATCATTAGTCTGTATTGTTTTAGAAAAACTGTCACATGACAATAAACAAAAATGTATCAGTACTCGTACTTGTAAGTACTCGGCAAGTACCAGTACTCGTACTCGCAAAACTGGTATCTGTGCATCCCTTTATTTATATTTATAAAAACAAAATCATACATTAAAACAGAGATGTTCAAATCCCCGGAGCTCCGTATGATCCTTACAAATGACAGCTGCCTCCTAATTTTTGCATTTGTCTCTAGTCTAGTCGTGGAGCTCAAAAGTATCGGTACATGTACCGTACTTGTACCGAGTACTTGTACCGAGTACTGTACTTGGTATCTGTGCAACCCTAATTATTATTACTATCATCCCGATTATTCATTTTGAGAAACAAATCGAGCTAAATTTCAGTGTAATTTTGACATTAGAGCACAGTTTTTATTGACATAATCCTTTACGTCAAGGTGATTTATACAGCCTGAGCTACTGAGCTCTGTAAACATCAGTCTTCTTTTATCAAAAATGAGAAAAATACATTTTAAAAAAGGTGACGAGTTCCTTTTGCTGGCCAAAAGGAGAACACAAATATTCAAATGCTATATTTAATATTTATCTGATTTAAAAAATGTCCTGAGCATAGTAATAAAGGAAATATAAAACAATATATAACCATTCCCTTTAATTTACTAAAACATTACCAACTAGAGAGCCTTAATCTTAAAAGTGAAGGCTTAAGATAATTTGTTAGCTCCAATGTTAATCATCTGTATTAATATAAAACCTTACCACTAATGTTTTTCTACTTAGGGCGTGGTATAAGAATCAGAGAAATCTTAAAGGATGATGAAGTTCTGACATTGTTTTTGCTGAAAGATATTGGGCTGTCGGACTCTGTAGTGTACCAGCTCATTAACTCACAAATTCGGATTGAACAGGTAAGAACAAGATGATAGGTGTTCTTTGTTAAAATATCAGTTTGCAAACTCTGCAACATTCACACCATCATCTGTACTAAGAGGGTTCTGACATCAACACGGTGTACTGCTCCAAATACTTTATGTAGAGCCTAATTTATGGATATAATGGAGGTATATGGAGTATGATTAGCCAAGCATGTATAGGCATGAGAACTTTTGTATGAAATAACTTTTCATTGAAGAGTTTATCACAGAAAAGCGGACTGTATGCATAAAGGACAGACTATATGTGCCCACACACATCTAAGTAAATATAAAACAAATTAGATGTGAATGACAGCACAGCTGGTTTGAGGAGGATAGCCACTGAACATAGGTTGTTCTTGTTACTGAACATAAAGGCACTTCTTGTCTGCATGCACTGATGGACGACTGCCATACCGTACCGACTTTACAAGTATAGGGTTTTATAAAGCTTATCCTTGCTGAGACCAGAGGGTAACCATCTGTGGGTTTCTTATCTAAAGTGCTCTAATTTTTGTAAATAATAAAAAATAAATGTATGTCTCTACTAGATCTACTTTAAGCTATATACCACTTTAAAGTGAATCTGTGATTTGCTGAAGCAAGACAATACAACAGGTTCACTTAACTGTCGCCCTCCAAGTTGCTCATTTTTACCCTACTTTTGATTCTCTATCGCTCTGTTCAGCTGCAAAGAGAGGACCTTTTCCTTGCTGGGTGCCTGAGCATCTAATCATCAAGCACCAGCCCATGTGTAAAGTAGTGGGAAGGAGAGTGAGTCAATTGCTCCCTTTACCAGGAGGTACTGGCTAGAATTTAGCTTTGTTCCAAATGGATATTCGTATGAATTTCGTTAAATTCAGACATTCGGATGCACCAGAATATCTGAATTTGAAGAAGTCCAAATGCAAACGAAACCTAATGTTCCGTTAATGAAAATTCTGATCCTTACGAATTATGTTCAGAACCAACCTAAATTGGACATGTGACTGTTCTCTGGCCAATCAGATGGGGGTTTTTTTGGATGTTGGGGGTTGCATTACAGGCACAATCATGTGACTTTGTTTCCGAAATGAAAATTCTGACGGATCCAAAATCCGAATAACGAACCAAATCAAATTTCAGATCCGAAAAACTAAAGAAATAAAAATCCGAATCGATCCGAAACTAAACATTCTTTGCAGGTTTACATGTCTAGTCTTGGCTATTTTAATTTTATCCTGGTATTTGCAGCTGGGAATGAGGGCGGTAGTTAGGTGAACCTGTTGGTTCGGTTGGTTTGCCCTGCATAAGGAAAGCACACAGTCATATCAATACTATGATTCATTTAAAAATTATTTACACGTTTGCTAAGCACTTTCATAATTATTTTCCAGTGCCAACTCAATAAAAAGGATAGCAAAAGAATGAGGGAAATGAGGGAAAATAAAAATGATCAACAGTCTGACAACATTTGATTATCTCAGATATTTATATTTGGCATTTGCCCTATCTGAAAAATATTATCTTCTGGAATTTGAATTTGTTTATTGCTCCAGCAGTTTCTGTCTATAGGGAAACATGCAGACTGTGTTGATCACTCATTATGCAGTAAAACTCTGTGACACTTTTTATTTCTGAGATTGACATATCTTGCCTTTCAAGTATGATCAGTTGACAATAGAGCCATTATAGAGAATCAGTGTAGTGAGGGTGGACGTGCTGTTTTTTGTGAATGGAAACTTCTAGAATTCCTTAAAAACAAGTCTGCTGTAAACCAGTTTTCACACGTGCAGGGAGACACAATCAGACAAAGCTTAGGAAATCTGAAACACATAAATAAAAGTACTTTGCAATTAAGTTCTTTTTTTTGGCCCTATATTTGTGTTGTTAAAAATGTGAGATTGTGTATTTTATATGTGTTAAGATTGTGGGGATGCTTTTCCATTTCAACGATTTGCCCTAGATGCAAATATAGGGGAAACTGTTTTTTTTTTTAAATTTCGGTAATTTTTCCTTAATATAGTAAAAAAATAAAACCCCCAGTGGTGAATAAATACCACCAAAAGAAAGCTCTATCTGTCCCCAAAAAAGGGTATAAAATTCATTTCAGTACAGCGCTGCATGACGGAATAAATGTCAGTCAAAGTACCGCAGCGCTGAATACTGAAAAATGGCCTGGATGGGAAGGGGGTTTAACACCGCGGATGTCAACTGGTTAAAGAGCCACTGCATTATTTTATCTGCCATTTTTAAACGACCTTTCGCCATAATTTCCTTATGTTTAAAATGATGTACTCCTGTGACCCAAAGTCAACCATCTAGTGGGTTACTGCCTGTTATATGCTGACCGCACAGAGCCGCGCTGCAGCCGGGAAGGATCCCAGGCTCTCTAGAGCCAGAGCCAGCTGTACCCACCCCCTGTCTATCTTTCCAATGAGTTCTGGAGGAACAGAGAGGGGAGGGGTGAGTTCCTGCTGTCAGTCACCAATCTCTGCAAGGAGAAGACCATAGGTTGAGCAATCAGCAGTTCATGGTCGCTCAACTCTCGATCTATAGAGCCAGCATGTGACACTTGCACCTTAACACCTAACTTCAGGCATATTTCTATCTTTTGAATCAGTGACAAAAATGTGTTTTCGTTTGCCTTTTGCCCCATTGCAGAGATATCCCATCCCTTCCTGTTGTGACAGAAAATGAGGGGATGTCTCCCCAAAAGAGAGCAAGAAAGACCCAACAAAGCCTCTAATCTTTCTCTATTCTAACCAAAACAAATTTCAAAAAAAAAAAAAAAAAAAGTAATGCTATTGACTCAAGGGATCGCATACACAAAGTCTCCTTGCGTTCTGGGGTGGGAGGGGGTCTGGCAGTGCCATTCATGTCAATGAGACTGCAGACACTCTGCCTGCAAAAAATTGTGCATGTACAATATTTTGTGATTGCACCACACTTGAAAGCAGGGCAATGTATTACCATGCGTTCTGGGGCAGCTGATGACAGGAATGGCACTGCCAGGCCCCCTGCTACCCCAGAACGCAAGGAGTCTTTGTGTATGCGATCCCTTGCATTCTGGGCAAGGGTGTAAACGAGCCTTTAAAATTACAGGAGTCAGAAGAGCCACATTGTAAATAAAAGAAAATTACAGCAATGTATGTAAAGGTATCAAAGGATTTTAGGGCTTATTCACACCAAGTACAGTGCATTCCGGAGTGGTAGCTGCTGAAACGCACACAAAACTCCCCCCTGCATTCTGGGGCTGGAGGGGGCATGGCGATGCATTAAAGACAATGGCACCTCAGCCACGCCCCTCTTCCGCAATGTGATTGCCCATACCGGAACGTGTGGCAAAACAATGCCCGCATTCCGGTCCAGTGTGATTGCAAAAAACACTGCATGCACTATTTTTTGGTGCTCGCACTGAACCGGAACAGAGGCATTGTTTGGCACGTCTTCCAGTGCGGGCGACCACAGTGCGGGCGACCCCAGAACGCAGGTGTGTGAGATACAGTGTGTTCCAGCAGCAACCGCTCTGGAACGCACTGTAATTGGTGTGAGCAAGCCCTTAGGGATAGAGAGCAGGGACAATACTGCTGGACAATGACAGGTACAGCACAGTAATTAATGACCTCTGCAGCATGTAGAATACAAGACCTCCCAGAGAGCCAGCAGACACCTGGGAAGTCTTGTCACAGCACCATACAGCAACAGGGTCAGCACAATGCTTAAACTTCAAGCCCCATTGACATTAACTTCAAGCCACTATCTGACTGCAGATGTCTCCCTACCTCTGTCCCCTCCTCGATCTTCTCGGTGTCCCCAAGGTCCGTCCGTCAACAAACGCGCCACCTCCAAACCACGCCCACTCCACCTGCTAACCAATCCCAAGAAGGCAGCAGGAGTCTGACCCCACCCATTTGGCTGTCTCAGACTCCACCTACAATGTGCGGGGTTGCGGAGACTGGACTGCTTGTCAGCCTGTCCGCTCCAGTAGTGTGCCCTGGGAGTAAGCACCGATGCCAGGACCCGGGTGGGATTGAAAGCCCTGTTCCTAACCGGGCCCCCCCCCTCTGTCGCGGGCCCCATAGCGCCCGCATGGGTCGCTATGGCGGTAGTTCCGCCACTGCTCCCATTATATTTACACCTCTATTCAAATTACCTAAAATAAACTATTGGCTGGTCCTATTCTTTACACTCGACAGCCTTTAATTTAATAAATTGCCTTTGTAGTGCAATAACTACCAATATATTTTATTGCTTATATGTTACAGGCAGTACCCATTATTTGCCTTTGCATGGAATTATTACTCTTGTATTTTGTTGATTGTATGTTATTACCTGGGTATTGTAATGATATCTCATTTGTATCTAGTTATTGCAAGGATTTCCTAATTGGATTATTACCCAAGTATTGTAACATTTGCCAGTTTGATGTCCACGTATTGTCGCAGTCTTTGCCTGCATATTGCCACAATTGCCTGTGTTTGTTGTAGGGGCTATATTACCACATACTGTATTGCCTGAAAAGGTCATGCCCCTAAAAACAGATATTTTAGCATCTCCTTAAAGCAGACATTTCCCTTTTTACTAAAAAATCACCTTAGCATTCAGCTCTGCATGCTGATATGAAATCATCTTATATTCATTAATTAAACAAACAGATTTTTCTTTTACTTACAATGATTGTTTTTCCACTTCCTGGTCCTCTTGGACATTAGTGATGTAATGTGCCCATGCAATGCATCCTAGGAAGGTTACATCAGCAGAGCATTGCTGTGAAATCTCATCTGTAATCTCACAAGATCTCAGGGAAAGATGTTTTTCTCCCCTGAGATAATGTGCATGGTCACATGTCCTAATCACACATGCTAGAGCTCCAGGAAGTACAGGGAGATATAGCAATCTGCTGTTAGTAAAAATGGCCACTGCAAGAAGAATGGGTAGAAAAGAAAAACAGGGTATGCAAAGAATACAAAGCCGGCAATTATCTAGAAGTATGTGTTTGTAGATTTCCATTG